CTCCCAGTGGTGCCGCCCGGAGGAGAAGCCGCAGGAGGCCAGGACGCGCGTGTTGGTGTCAAAGCGACGCGGGTGGTTGGGCAGGTCCTGGGCCCGCTGTCCGAGGCGCACGCTCTTAAGATCCAGCGAGAGGATGAGGCGGGGGTTGGCCGTGTCCGGGTCCAAGGTCAGCTCCACTGCAGTGGGGAGTCAGGGAGAGTTGGCCCTTGCAGGCCTCTTGCACAGCCCCTGCCCCCTTCCTGCCCACCCCCACACCCTACCCCTACCCCCACCCCCAACAAGTACATCTGAAATCAAACGGTACAACTTAGATACTAGAAAGAATCATCAACTTTTCTAATTATGATGATGGTTTTTTGGTCTTTTTTTTTATCTCTTTAGCCCTGGCCGCTGTGACTCAGTTGGTTGAGCGTGTCATGCACCAAGAGGTCCCCGATCAGGGCACATGCCTGCGTTTTGCAGGCCCCTACAGGAGGCAGCCGATGGAAATGTTTCTCTCCCTTGCCCCCCCACCTTCCTCTCTCTCTCAAATCAATATAAACATATATGTATTTTAAAAAATCTCTCGTTAGAGCCCTAACCAGTTTGGCTCAGTGGATAGAGATCAAATACTGAAATATGTATGGAAATGATATTATCTGTGATTTGCTTCAAAATAGTCCAGTAGGAAGAAATAAGCAGGGGTGTTAGTGGTAATTGCTGAGGGTGTATGATGAGCATGTAATATTTGTTATGCTTATCTCTCTACTTGAGCATATGTCTGAAATTTTCCATAAGGAAAAGCTCGAGCCCGGCCGGCGTGGCTCAGTGGCTAACATCGACCTATGAACCAGGAGGTCACAGTTCGATTCCCGGTCAGGGCACATGCCCAGGGTTGAGAGCTCGATCCCCAGTGTGAGGTGTGCAGGAGGCAGCTGATCAATGATCCTCTCTCATCATTAATGTTTCTATCTCTCCCTCTCCCTTCCTATATGTGTGTGTTTGTGTGTGTGTATGTGTGTGTATATATGTATGTGTATATAAATATATGTGTGTGTGTGTATACATACACACACACACACATATATATATATGAAAGAAAAGAAAAAGCTCAAATATGCACACTTTTCAGTGTTCCAGGCCTCCTATGTGCAGGCCGTGGGAATCCCAGCCCTCCTGCAGCTTCCTTTCTTGGGGGAGGGGAGGAGAGACAATAAATGATTTTAAAAATATAGAAGAGGGATCAGGACAGCAACTGTGATTTCGACTAGAGGGGCCAAGGACGGCCTCACTGAAAAGGTACATTTAGGCGAAGACACAGAGAAGGTGAAGAAACCAGACAGGCGGCCATCTGGTGAAGCAGGGTCCAGCCCAGGGAAGTGTGTGCTGGTGCATTCCAGCCCCCACCGGGATCAGGAGTGCCCCCGGGGAGCGAGTGCAGCACGGCCCGAGCATGGCTGGAGAACTGCAGCCTGTGCTGAGTGAGGGGGGACTGTGCAGGGCTCTGTGCACAGAAGGGGCACAGTCTGACTCAGCTGGTTTAGATTCTTTCCAGGCAAAGTCTGGCTTGGCCCCCGCTCCCCTCCCTGTGGGGTTGGGTCCCACTCACCCAGAATTCCGCAGGAGTAAGAACCACCTCCCTTGTCCTCCGTTTCTTCCTGCTTCCCCTCACCCCTGCACACAACTCCGGTCCCCAGAAGAGGCCTCAGTAAGTTTGGGAGTGGGGACAGGGGAGAGAGGGGCTTGTGTAGGTGACTGGCAAGCCTTCCCCAACCTAAGCATCCTGACGGGCAGGGCACTCCTGCTCCGGGCCACAAGCCTACAGGCCCCGGTGGCCTGCGGGAGTGGGCGCTGTGAGGTACGACAGGGAAGGGGAGTAGATGGCAGGCACGGAGGTGGGCGGTGGGCGGGCAGAGGGAACCACCGGCACTCGGAGCCCAGAGAGATAGTCGCCCGCCCGCAGGGAGGGAATTCCCCATAAGGCAGGTAACAGGCACTCACTGCCCCCACAGCTACCGTACCTTTCTCCTCTTTCTCCAGCTCTCCACGAAGGTCCTCTGTGGAGAAACCAAGCAGGTGTGCGTGAATGACACCGAGACTGTCTGACGACAGTGACTGCACCTCCGACAAGGATGGCCCCGCTGGCTCACTTACTCCCAGGCAGGCCCGAGGCACTGGGCCACCGCAGGTGCGGGGAGAGGCAGGATTCTGGCTTTCCCTGTCCAGCTGTCCCTCTTTTGCCCGGAGCTGGTCAGAGCTGGGATCTCCCTCCCCATCCTCGTCCGCCCCCAATGCCCCTCTATCCTGTTGGTCCCCAGGGGGAGCTCTGTGCCGAGGGGGCCTGAGTAAATTCGTCACCACATACCCCAGCTCTGCTGACCTCACACAGCTTCGGGCAAGGCACATCTCTGGGCCCCAAACCTCCAAAACCACACCCCTGCCCCTGGCACCTCATGGCCCAGCCCCACACCTGGACCTACCTTTGAACTTCTTGAACAGCCCCTTTAAGACAAAGGTCTTGAGGGAAACGTTCCAGACTTTATTCTTCATCTCAGAAGAGACTGTGCTTGGCTTGGGGGCCGGCACGTTGCTGCACCTACAGGACAAGGAGGAAGGCCCACGAACACTGTCCCACTCCCAACATTAGGACGGCGAGGCCCCCTGGGCGGGGAGACGCAGAAAAAGGCGAGCCTGGTCTCATGCCCACACCCACACCGGGCACAGGGTCTCCTGCCTCAGAAGGTACCAGATAAGGCGATGGGGCCGTGGGAGGTGCGGAGCTGGGGGTGGGGAAGAAAGAGGCTACGCCGTGGGAAAGAACCAGCTAAGGGGCCCAGGAACCATTAGGTCCACTCACCTGCTTAGTGTGTTTTTAAATTCCTGGAAAGATGCAAGAAAACAAAATCAACATCAGGTAACCCCCATGCACCTCTGAAAAAATAAAACCGCCCCTGCCCTGCCTCCAGAGGGAGAGGCGATAAGCAGGGGTACCACCCCCACCACGGGCCCGGGTGCCAAGGGCTCCCCCGTGCCTGGAGCTGGGCACCTCGTCACCATGGTGGGTCCCTGGCCCTGCGCACAGCTCTGAAATGCTCGGCCATTACAGAATCCTGCCTGCAGCCAAGTGCTGGGCCAGCCAGGCCTCGGCTCTCACGCCACCAAGACAAGTCGGAGCCGTTATGCGGCGCCCGCTCCTTCAGACCAGTGTCTTCTGAACGGCTGTTTTTGAACCATTTGTGTCTTGTGAAGTTTATTTCGTAGACTGTCACTATTTATTTTTATTTTTTTCAGGGGAGAGCGCGAACGCAGTCCCCCCCTGCTGCAAATTATGCAGCCCCGTGTCCCACATGTGGGGAAATCGCAGGGGCAGCACATCCACAGGGCAACGGATAAGCCTCGCTCTGGGAAAACCGCCCTCGTGGCCATGGCATCTCCCCTGCCAGGTAAGGAGGACTAGACTGTGACTGTTTTTTCTAATGAAACAGGATAGGAAACATCTGAGCGCATCACACTGGTGCAGGTGTTTCCTGGGACTTGTCTCCAGTGGGCGCCTGCTGGAACATGATGTCAGGCATATTCTTGTTCCTTGCGGTGAGGACAGTTTTATCACATCCCTTTAGACCCGACTCTGACCCCAGGGACATCAGGGCACCTCTCTCCAGGCCCCGTTGGCCGCAGACTGTGTGAGTCACTAAGCTCACAGGACCGGACTCTGTTCTCGCTGCCTTCGCTACGCCTTAGGATCCAGGACTCACAGCCCCGGGGAGCCGCTCACCTGCAGAAAGTCAAGGTCGGGCTTGCTGGTCGTCTCCTGGATCTGGCTGGTGAGCTTGGACAGCTGGGCGATCTCGCCCCCCAGCTGGGCCAGGTTCTCGTTCTGCTTTTGTGTCACCTCCCGGGACAGCTCCTCCAGGCGGCCCAGGAGCCGGCCCTCCTGCTCCACCAGGAAGGCCCGCAGCGCCTGGAACTCGGCCCCCACCTTCTCCCGCTCGGCTGCCATCTGCTTCTGTCTCCGGAGAGAAGGTGCAGAGGTGAGGGACACGAGCATCGAGGCTTGGCATCTGGACAGGCGCGCTGAGCCACCCCAGAGGGCAGGGTCACATCCGCCTCGCTGTTCAGGGGTCAGGGGCTCACCCACACAGGCACACCCTGCACAGCCTCTAATTTAAATACCCCACTGCTAAGGGCACAGCAGCTTCAATACACGCTCTCGCTTCCCCTGTCACAGATGTGCCCATGTGCCTTTGTACCTGGGCTCTCCCTCAAACCTAGGGCGACTCCAAACTCACCTAAGAACTACTAAAGGCTGCCGTTTCCTCGTCTGAAAGGAAGGATAAATGAGTGCCTCCTGGGCCACTCTCAGTATTAAACTGAGGTCACTCTTTCTTCCCCAAACACATTTATTATGTGTCACATACAAGAACACAGGGCCAGTATGGAGTCGCTATGCTAAGCACCACCTCGCTAAACAGGCTTCATTGTAGTTTCGGCTATCCCAGAAACGGAATTTTTTTTAAAATATATTTTATAGATTTGTTACAGAGAGGAAGAGAGATAGAGTTAGAAACATCGATCAGCTGCCTCCTGCACACTCCCTACTGGGGATGTGCCCGCAACCAAGGGTACATGCCCTTGACTGGAATCGAACCTGGAACCCTTCAGTCAACAGGCCGATGCTCTATCCACTGAGCCAAAACGGTCAGGGCAGAAATGGAATCTTAAGCCAGCTGATCAGGAATTGCCTTTGTTGATAACCTGTCATCCCTGATTAGGAAAGTAGCCTTGCAATAACCAAACCGGCTTTTTTCCCTGCAGACATTCCTGTCCTTGATGTAAGACATATTCTTGCTCCTCACGGTGAGGACAGTTTTGCTACCTCTGCTTATAAAATCTCTCCCCTAATACAGCTCTTCGGGGTTCCTTTCTATCTGCTAGATTAGATGCTGCCCAATTCATCAACCACCGAAGAAAGCCAATAAGATCTTTAAAATATACTCAGTTGAATTTTGTTTTTTAACATTCATCACCCCTCCAACTTTCACTCCCCACTTTATTTCATTTTATTTATTTTTTTGCGATTGTCTGAAATTTCTATAACCGTGCTCCGGATGCAGCAGGGCAAGGCCTCAAACCGTTCCAAAATGTTCTAGCAAGCACTGTAGGAATGCACGGGGTCACCCCAGACCCAAGCACGCTGGAGGCTTGCCGACTTTATTTCATTTTAAAGTGTTTTTTTTAAAAAAAAATGACTTTAGAGAGGGAGAAGAAGGGGGAGAGAGAAACATCGATTTGTTGTTCCACTTATTTTGGTTAATTTTTTTTTCTTAAGACATATTTTTAGGGGGGGACAGGGGGTAACGTGGGGATAAGGACACATGTGTAATAACTCAATCAATAAAAAAAATTTTTAAAAAAGAGACATATTTTTAGTGATTTCAGAGAGGAAGTGAGAGGGAGAGACAGAAACATCGATGATGAGAGAATCATTGATCGGCTGCGTCCTGCACAGCCCCCACTGGGAATCCAGCCAGCAACCCAGGCCTTTGCCCTGACAGCGAAGCGAACCACACCCTCCTGGTTCACAGGTGAACCACGCCCTCCTGGTTCACAGGTGAACGCTCAGCCACTGAATCTCTCTGGCCAGGCTTGGTTGATTCTTGCATGTGCCCTGCCGGGGACAAACCCACAGCCTTGGTGTATGGGGGCAACGCTCGAACCAACTGAGCTACCCAGCCAGGGCCTTCGCTTCACTTTAAAGAGCACCATTTCTGTTTAGCAATTATGAAGGTAACATATGCTCATAATACAAAATCTGCAAGTTGCAGAAAAAGAAGGAAAATCAATGCCAGCGACCAGAAGTGGCAGCACACCGACCTGACCCAAGTGAGAATATGCTGTGTGCGGGCTTCCTATTCTATCACTTCCGTTACCGTGACCCACTGGATGTTTGCTCCTGTGTTTTCAGACACAGGCTCATGCTACGGATCCCCTGGATGCTTTACGTGAGTATGTGCGAGGGGCTGCACATGACATCACAAGGACTAGTGAGAAGTGAGAAGGGTTCCATCCCTCCCGGACAAGCTCAACCTCCACAGTCCCTCTGCTTTAAAAGCCCGAACGGAGCCAGTGTGGCTCAGTGGTTGAGTGTGGACCTATGAACCAGGAGGTCACGGTTCGATTCCCAGCCCGGGCTGGATCCCCGGTGTGAGATGTGCAGGAGGCAGCCGATCTATGGTTCTCTCTCATCATTGATGTTTCTATCTCCCACTCCCTTCCTCTCTGAAATCAATAAAAATATATTTTAAAAAAATATCTTCAGACATTGCCAAATATCCCCTCGGGACCAAAACTGCCTGCACTGAGAAGCACTAAGTGATAAGAGCATTTTCAGATGAAAGCATTCATTCTGTTATCATGCAGCATGGTCTCCTCTGCCTCTACTGCTGTATTAAGCAGGTAGTATTTTGTAATTCTAAAGAATACGGGGCCAGAGGGGTGGTCAGCAGGGGACCCAGGGGCAGGTGCTAAGCGGTGTCATGGTGGGTAGGGCCAGAGACAGGACGCTGCCCACGATGTGCGAGGCCTCTGGGTCGTAGATGGAAGAGCCACATGCTCACTCCTGTCTCCAGAAGAGGGTGGGAGTCTGGAGATGAGGGCTGCGCTCTTCCTTGGGGAGGGAAGTGAATGATCAGAGGGAGGGCTGGGTGCACAGGGAGGCAGGGGCACCAGTGCAGGTGAGGGTCCGGAGGGGCCTGAACTCAGGTCTTCCCCCCACACCACCCCCTCCCCAGCTTGAGGACAGGAGGGCCCGCCAGTTCCCAACTTCAGAACTGCGTGGCCTCTCCTAACAGACTCCCCATAGACCCTCCCGTTTTTTTAGCACCGTCTTATCGAGCGAAGAACTGAATCTGCGAGGAAGAAAATGACAGTCCGTGACCCAGGCTGCTCTCCGCATCAAAAGGAGCCCGTTTCACTTTCCTGCTCCACCGAAAAGAAGACAAAATATAATTCCCGCCCACCAGGGGGCATGGCACACTGGGCTGTGCAGCGGGAGCTCCTAGGAACTGGTCGCCAGACTTCCCACCCTCAGCGCTGACCCAGTGAGCCCCCTTCCACTTAGCCCAACTGCAAAAGCTCAGAATTCTAAAAATAAGAAAAAGTCGCCGAAGCCGGTTTGGCTCAGTGGATAGAGCGTCGGCCTGCGGACTGGAGGGTCCCGGGTTCGATTTCAGTCGGGGGCATGTGCCTGGGTTGTGGGCACATTCCCAGTGGATGTGCAGGAGGCAGCTGATCGATGTTTCTCTCTCGTCGATGCTTCTGGCTCTCTATCTCTCTCCCTTCCTCTCTCTGTAAAAAATCAATAAAATATGTTTAAAAAAATGAAAAAAAGTCTTTTCATAACTCTTCCACAAAATGGCAAAAAAAAATTGCCCTAGGCCAGTGGTCAGCAACACGAGACACATGTGGCTCTCTGGCCCCTTGAGTGTGGCTCTTCCACAAAATACCAAGTGCAGGTGCGCATACAAGTGGATGGAAACTTCCTGGCCCATGCGCAGAAGTCTGTTTTCGCCTGGGCGGGCCGCGGGATACACAGTGCGGGGGAGGCGTGCGACTCATGCAGGAGTTGAGAGAGCCAGTCAGTCGGCAGTCTCAGTGCAGTGGTTAGTGCTAGTCGCGTCTGCAAATCGCCCGCGGGTGACAAAAGTACCGACTCGAAGCATAAAGTTACCTGTATTTTTCCAACCAGCTGCAAATCCTACAGGTATTTTTGTCATCAATTTAAGAATTGTAATTATTTTGTGTTGGTGGCTTTATTATTATAAAATGAGGACGTTTTTAGCAAAGGCCAGCTTAGGAGCAGCCTAATTAAGTTAATAACAAGGTACCTACCTGTATAGTTTAAGTTTAAAAAATTTGGCTCTCAAAAGAAATCTCAATCATTGTCCTGTTGGTATTTGGCTCTGTTGACTAAGGAGTTTGCTGACCACTGGCCAGGCTGACTTGAGGCTGTTTACTGTATTTATGTTCTCATTGAGTCTGAATATGCATGTTCCTCCGCAGAAACATTAGGGCATTCCATCGGGAGAGACGCCAAGGATCTACCTGGGCTGTAACACTAACAGGGCTGTACACCCCGTGCACTGGCACAGCTCCAGCCGAAGCCAGCTGTTCTAGGGTTAGTTTAGCACCTCCTTTCGTTTGCAAAAGCCCTGGTTACATGATAAAGCATAGGGTCGCCTTTTATAACATGCACCAATTATCTTTCTAAATCCACCTCTGCGGTTCCACTGCACATGCTCCAATCCCACACACACAAAACTGCGGGGTGTGGGGGGCCCTCCGCAGCCGGGCAGGGGGCTCACCAGGAGCTCCTTGCTCTCCTTCTCCTCGGTGGAACGGAACACCTCATAGTCCTCCAGGTCACTCTTCAGGGCCTTCAGCCTGGACTCCAGGAGCTCCTGCGGGGGTGAGACGGCGTGGGCAGAGGATCCTGGAAACCCCAGGAGCAAGGGAAGGCCCTGCGCCCTGAGGAGGAGGCCGGGGTGGTTACAGCCTGACTTCGCACAGGGGGACTGGGCACCTTTAGGGTGACGCCAAAAGCCCGAGGGTCTCACGTCCCCAAGACCATCAGTGTCCAAGTTCAGGCGGAAACACACGCCTCAACGGAGGCCCCAGCAAGGAGGCGGGACAGAAAGGAGCCCAGACGGCTCGCTCCGGGCTCTGCTCAACCCCGGACCACCCACCTTCCCGGACCCCTCGGGAAGGTCTCCCACCCGCGGGAAGAGCTGGGAGCGGGGCAGCGGCCGTGTGGATGCGCCCAAGTCGCCGCTAGAGGCCGGGGAAGGAAAGAAAGAAACTCGCCAAGTCTGCGGGACATCGCCCAGGCGATGGTACTGGGGGTGCGGGGGGTGCCGGAGTGACAGAGGGGTCGCCACGCTCACGCCCGGCGCCAGTGCTGAGCAGGAGACAGGAGGCAGGGGCTCACCGGAGCCCCCGTCTGCTGCCTGCGCGTCCGCACGGCGTGGGGGGAGGCCGGCAGGGGCGCGGGGACCCGCGGGGGCGCGGCCGCGCTCACCTTGGCCTCCTGCACAGCCTCCTC